TTTGGCTCCACTTTTCTATTTTGGCAAAACACATTTTTATTCCATGTTTTTAAAATCCACTCTACCCATTTTTAATGTGTAAAGATTAGGTCAGTTGTCAGACCTGTTTTTGCTGTTGTTTTTTCCCCCTTACCATTGTTGAAATATTGATGTCATGCAGTGCTTGTTGCAGTTCGCTGCACTTTTGTGATTTTTTTTTCCGTCACTGCAGCATTTTGCACCACGACTTTGGGCAAGATTTTAAGAAAAAGGGGGCGATGAAGGGGTTCGCTATAATTTTGACCTTTTTTCTTCTATCCCATGGTGTTCCTCCAGTTCCTAGTGGGCCACCTCGTAAAGTTGAGGTGGAGGCTGTCAACTCCTCATCAATTAAAGTGATCTGGCGCTCACCGATGCCCACCAAGCAGCACGGTCAGATTCGAGGGTACCAGGTGCACTATGTCAGGATGGTTAATGGGGAGCCCACAGGACAGCCAGTCATCAAGGACATCCTGATTGATGATGCCCAGGTAAAACACCCTCCTCAGCCAGCCTGTGCTTTTCTCAGACACAATCTCTCCTTCTCTCTCTCTCTCTCAACCTCTACATGCACCACAACACAGAGATCATTTGAAATGGGAAAATAAGCAAATCTTCATCATGTCATCTGAATAAAACAGCGACTATTCAACAGTTTTGTTACTAAATACAAATGAAACATACTGGATGCAGTAATCTAATGCATATTTATCTACATATATAGGTATTGCTACTTTTATATAATTGTATGGTGACTGGCCTTATTTCTTGTCTCTTTTCTCTCCACACTCTGATATCATTATCAGTGGGAATATGATGATTCAACTGAACATGTGAGTAGCTAAACCGGAAAGAATTCTTGTTTTCCTCTGCATGACTGGCGTGTGTCTTTTGTACAACAGGAGTGTGTGGCCTGATTTTGTTTGTATTTTTTAAACAATAGCTTGGTCCCAATTTCTCCTACTTTAGTGCAAAGTGCAGCTGGAACTACTTCACTAACAGTTGGAATGAAAATAAAACTGACCAAACAGCAAGTGCTGGCTTTAAAGAATTCTAATAGTGTTTAATGATTAAGTTAATGTTGCACGGAGAAGACAAGTGATTTAAGCCTCACAAATCAGTATGTGCTCTGAGAATGAGTCTGTTGTGTCCTTTGTGATGATTTTCGCTGACACCACAGTCCACCACCACCTCTCTGCTTGCTATCATCTGTAAATCAGCAAGTGTGTGTCCTGCAACTGAAGTCCTGCGTCTTTACAGGAAATGATCATCGCGGAGCTGCAGGCTGAGACCACGTATTCAGTCACCGTTGCAGCCTACACCACAAAGGGTGATGGTGCACGCAGCAAGCCCAAACTGATCACAACCACTGGCGCAGGTAACAAATCCCATCGCTGCTGATAGATCTCCTGCAGTTCTCTGTTTATATACTTTATGTTTATCAAACAGTGCATTTCTACCTTGTAAAGCAGTGAAGCTGCATCTAATGAGGAAAAAAAAGAGCACCGGGCAAATGTTCTTGTCACTTGAGTGTGAAGAGTGTGAAACAGCTAATTGCCGTCTCATTAAGTGCAGTAACTCTAACCCACTGGTGTGACACAGCTATGTTGATGGCATATTTACAGCAATGGAAAATGTAGAGAGTGAAATAAAGTGCTCAGCTATTGTATTCAGCACTTTTTTACAATATGAAGGTACAATGAAATATACATTCAAGTAGACAGAAAGACGCACAGTAGATCCTATGATATTCAACACCTGCCTATGACAAATATGATAAAACAGAAACATGTTTACACGCTGTCTCTTTCTCTATTAGTTCCTGACAAACCTCGGCTAATGGTCAGCACCACCAACATGGGCACGGCTCTCCTCCAGTGGCACCCCCCAGCATTCACCCACGGGCCCCTTCAAGGCTATCGCCTCCGTTTTGGTCGCAAAGACGTGGATCCGCTGACTGTCATTGAGTTCCCCGAGCGAGAGAACCACTACACTACCAAAGAGATCCATAAGGGAGCCTCGTACACTTTCCGCCTTTCCGCACGCAACAAGGTGGGCTTTGGCGAAGAGACAGTCAAAGAAGTCACCACAAATGAGGATGTCCCAAGCGGTTACCCTCAGAGCATCACAGCTGAAGGTGCCACCACCTCCACTATTCAGGTTAGCTGGCATCCTGTTTTGCTGGCGGAGCAAAACGGCCAAATAGTGAAATATGCTCTGCAGTATAAGGACATCAACAGCCCACGCAGTCCCTCAGAGCTCTTCATCACCGCCCCGGAATCAACAGTCATCCTGGATGGCCTTAAGGCAGATACCACTTATGATATTAAAATGTGTGCCTTCACCAGCAAGGGCTCTGGTCCCTATAGCCCAAGTGTCCAATTCAGGACACAGCCTTTGGATCAAGGTAGGACGCAGCCCATGAACATTTATAGTCCTTTTCCTCTTTAAAGTCAAGCTTTCCCTGCGCAGTCCTTTCCAACCACAGCAGCTTCCACACAAAGGCTCAAATGGCAGAAGTTGAGAGAGTTTGGAATCAATCAGAGAACTTCATATTAACAAATTTCATACCCTTAGACGTCACAATCTAATCATGATTTTTTTTTAAACTCACATCGAGTAAGTATGTATGTCTCTTCATGTGTTGTCAGTCAAGCAAAGGTCAGTCATTAACATAAGAGTTGGAGTTTGTAAGAAGGTAAGAGGACAGTGTTGAGTTCAGTGTAGCAATGATTTCAGCCTGGTTTTCAGAGAGACTTTCTCAGGTAAGCACCGGTGTGGGACCATTGGTGGAATCAGATTTTAAAAAGGATGTCTTGTGTCTAAATCACACGCTCCCCCTTTCTTTTAGCAGTGTTCGCAAAAAATTTCCATGTGAAAGCTGCCATGAAGACATCAGTGTGGTTGACCTGGGAAATCCCAGACACCTACAACCCGGCTCAACCCTTCACTGTGAGCACCGCTCGAATAAAATATATGCTAACATGCTTAACAAAACATGATTCAGCAATTTCAACATTGAAACATCAACTCATTCACATACAGATTCTCTACGACAACGGCCAGAGCGTGGAGGTGGACGGGAAGCTGACGCAAAAGCTAATCACGGGTCTTCAACCTGAGACGCAGTACTCCTTCCTTCTGACCAACCGTGGCAACAGCGCCGGAGGTCTGCAGCACCGCGTGTCCACCATGACGGCCCCAGACATCCTTCGCACCAAGCCATACCTGATCGGCAAGACCAACTCAGACGGTATGGTGACTGTGGAGCTGCCGTCGGTGCAAACATCTGAGAGAGTGAGGTGAGTGCGGATAATCGACCTAAAGGGGTTTTGGGAATAGCACGGCTTCTTAAGTGTTGCACTGTAAACAGTAACAGTAATCTTGTGTGAGTCATGCATATTATGATTTGACATGAAAAGGCATCACTGAAGTGCAATGGTACCTCTATTTCTTTACCATTTCCCATATTACCAACTATTATTTCTAACTGATGCATCGGGGAAGGGAATAAACAAGTGAGCTTGATAGCTGACCTTGTCGGGGGTAATTCATCCAAAACAGAGTCATTTATATTCATCCCTACATTTCAGTGTAATATCCACTTCACCTCAGTCATTACACTCTGAAGCAGAGCAACTCATTTAAGCACATTCCTCTAAGCCCTATAAAGTCTCTTATAGCCTTTCGACAGAGCCCAGGGTTGTCAAAAGGCCAAGGAGTGTTTCCGATTGTAGACTGACGCTTCAAACCCATCTTGGGTTTTTTTGATCTTGCTGGATGCATTTGGCCCACTGTCTCCCATGCCAGAGCTTAAGCTAATTAGTTTCCCATTAGCCTGCCACACTGCCTTCCTGGCCAACGCCTGCTAGTGCAGTGGCCAACCAGGAAGCCTGACTCTGGCAGAGGCCGTTATCTCTCTTGCCACCCAGATGAAGGGATGAAAATCCCTCTAATTCTGTATCTCGTCTGTATACACAGAGTGTATCCTAATTAACCCACAGGGGGCCTCAGTGAGGTGTAACGGTGCTGCCTAGTTTCTCTGCATATGTTCAAACTGAACAGAAAACAGAAGAAAATAGTCTTGATCGGGGGAGCCACATGACATGCTAATAGCACGATTATGTTTATGGTTCTGGAATACAAAGACTTTTCTCTCTTTAGTACAGTGTTTGTCTCCTAGAAAGTGGCAGTTACTTTCCATCTTGCCTTAAATGTTAATATCCTGTCATTTTATTTTGCAGGGGATATTTCATTGTGGTGGTTCCTCTGAAAAAACAGCGAACGGGGAAGTTCTTCAAACCCTGGGACAATCCCGATGAGATGAATCTGGAGGAGGTGGGTTTAAAGCATGAGCTGGATGTGATGGGTCAGGTTATTTAGAAAGAAAAAGTAAAAGTAGAATTCCGGACATTACTTTTTTTCAATTATCTGGTTATTGAAACCCAGCTTTTTAACAGCGTTCCCGTGTTCCCATATCACACATCTCTTTTTGAAACCAGGAAAAAAATAGGTTGAGGCAGTTAAGAGGGAACAGGAGATGATTCTCGCTGATTGACACAAATAGCTGCAGAGAACACTGTTCATATGGAAATGAGAACATGAAGTAGCCATCGAGTGCACTGCAAACTCAACCCCCGTGCCCACCTCCTCCCCCTCCTCCTCTTTGTGTCTGTGGTAATTACCTGAAGAGCTGCATCAGGCCTTCACGTCTCTTCTCATTCCAGGCAGAGCTGGGCTACTGCGTGTGCACAAAACACTTGACAACTTTTATATTAAACCAGTTGAGACAAATTCCGAAGCGCCTGTGCATCCCGTGCACGATTACATGTGTGAGAAGCAATTTGAGTAAAAAGTTTTTATCAATAGTGCAGTGATCTCTCGAAACCTCTAGAAAGCTACTCCCATTCAGGTTACTCTCCAGGCCAGAATTATATTTTCAATATCAACTATATTAAAATGTTTAGCCCTATTGGACAAACATCAAAGTATATGACATGTCCAGGAGGCTAAAACAAAACACCATGTCTCATCTGCCATTGAGTTTACAGCTCATGCCTGCAGGCGCGTGTCTGTAGCCTTGACCGATTGCCCAAAAGTCGCCCCTCTGTCAGAATTTATTTGTTTGTCAATATTGGCACTCACCTTTTCACAACTTTTCCCAAGGGCAGCTAGATTTAGCAGCGTTGACAGGAGAGATGATTGAAGACATTATCGGGCCGCACCAACAGCCCAGCAGCCCAAACAGAGCACACATGAGGAAGCACACACTCTAATGTGACTGACAGGCGCACACAGCGGGCACATGCACGCACACACACACACTCATGTGTGCAGAGAGAGGAAATCAGATGCCCGAACAACTAGCAGGCTTGATGAGTATAATTATGATCCACTCTCTGTACTTTATAGTCAGATGATACACACTTGTAAGGACACACTAAATATGTTACCTTGAGCTGGATACTAACATTATTAGCATCATTATTGTTATTATTATTATTTTGTCTTTCTAGCTCTAACGTTAATAATGACAGGAGCGTGATATTTAATTATTTCATTTGAAAACAAATGTTCTGGGTAAATCCTGCTCGCAACTTCAATTTCATGATTTCTTTAAAGTGGAAAAATGTAGTTTGAAGCCGCTGAACACTGTCCAACAAAAATGATCCGCAAATTCTATTTGTCTAGAAGTTCAAGCAAAAATGTGTTTCTGATGGTATCAAGACGAAAAACTAAATGAGCTTTGTAAGTTTTAAATGAATTTAGTCTTTTGCACTGTTTGAAGCCGCTGGATAATCCTCAACTGCTTTATATGCTGGAAAGCCACACAATCTTTTAATCTCACAATCTTTTGTAGTCCAAAAACAGATGAAATAAGTCATTGATCTATTCTGTAATGTTGTGCTTTTTGCGTCAGCATTTTCAGCTTAGCAGTCAGGGAAGAAGAAAAAAAAGACGGTCGAGATAGACAGATTCGGTTTGTGCGGATGTGTTTTATCAGCTGTCTGCTCTTCCTCTTCGTCGCTGTAGCTGCTGAAGGAGATAAACCGAACTAGCAGAGGCCTCCGGTTCCAGAGGCAGGCTGAACCCAAAGCCTATATCGCTGCCTACTTCAAAGACCTGCCGAAAGACTTCACCCTGGGAGATGGCAAGATCTACGGGGACTTTGAAAACAAGCAACTCCAGAATGGTCAGGAGTACATCTTCTTTGTGCTCGCTGTTCTGGAAATGTCTGAAAACGTAAGTCTGCATTCTCTCATATGGATAGTGATATGTTCTTTGTCTCAGAAGCTGTGGAGGGTAATGAGCATGAAGGGTTAAATTCACCACATCTCTGTGGAGGGTCACAGTTTACTTCTGGTCAGATGTGTTACTCTCAGCCCTTGTGAGACTATGACTTAGAAACTTAAAGCAGCAGCTGACCCTTCCTGCTTCAGGGAGAGAAACCCCTGAAGACCTCAGCCGATAGCAAGAATACAGTGATAACGGAGCTCCTCTTTAATTGCGTCCTACGTGCAGTGTGCCTTATCTCCGCCGCTGCAGCTAGTGCGTATGTGTGCATGTACCTGTCTGGACCGAAGACCTGAGAGCTGTATGATTAGGCGGCTGCAGGTGAGATGATGGATTTGATGAGCTGCAGGGTCTATAGTGCTGCTCACACACTCTCCGCTAACCCCCGAGTTCAGGTAGAGCAAAAACAATAATGATGGACGGGGGGAAATCTCTAATTTGCCCACTGAAGCATATATTTTCTTCCCACAAGACCTTTTTTTTTTAATCCTCCCTTAGAATGTGAAAAGGTTCAATCAAGGCTCCTGCATAGGCGAGATATTGTAGATAATTGTGATTGCAGCTTAGCAGAAATTACACAGCGAATCGTGGAATTGGCTTAGAATTTGTAATGTTGGTCATGCTGTCTTTGTCAGAGTCTTGTTTTGCTCTTGTTATGCTCAGTAGTCTTTAGTAATGCTATGAATATTCCAAATGAAACCAGATCTACTGTAACATTACCTCTGGATGTTAAGTTTGAGATCCTGTCCAAGGTACCATATAGAAATAGCTTAAAATAATGGAAAAGGTGGAGCATAATATCTAATATGTAAAGGTAGCATCATTTGGTTGAAATGAAACTACCGATGCAGATTTCAAAACCCGTCTTTTCCCTGCCTCAGATCATGTATGCCACCAGCCCGTACTCTGACCCGGTTGTTTCGGCCGACACTGACCCCCAGCCAATCATCGATGAGGAGGAAGGGCTCATCTGGGTCGTGGGCCCTGTGCTCGCGGTCGTCTTCATCATATGCATCGTCATTGCCATCCTCCTCTACAAGAGGTAAGGACATGACAGTAAAGTCCAAACTAAAGTTTTTTTTTTCCTTGTCGAAGGCTACATTCATACTACTACTTTCCCGTTTGAAACATCGTTGACCCCTTTTTAGTTTGAAAAATCTGGGGCTGCGTTTTAGTCTGGACGGGAAGAAACTGCATTGTTTGGAAACGATGATGTCCAACTAGACACCGATCACATGAAGCCGATCCAGAAAACAACCTGTAACAACTGATAACATAAGAAGGAGACGAGCTGTAACTTAGTCAATGTGTTACAATCTTGTTTACACTGGCACGTGCATGCCCAGTGTACGTGAGTTGTGCTATGCGTTTCCAGGCATGTAGGTATGGACGGGGGTTAAAACTGCTACGGAGCCAAAATGCTTGCGTGGGAAGAGATCATTTTAGTATGAATGTAGCCTAAGAAAATGCACAGGAATCTAACCATGATGAACCGTGACATAGTCATGCCAAGGGGAAGGTTTTTAACATTGTTACTGCACATGCATTTAGAATTTACGTCACGAAGAGCCACTCAACCTTCAATAGTTTAGTTATAATTTTATTTCTGCAATGTTTCTATGTATCAAACGTCATGGTGCACGTTTGAATGCAGACACTAAATGTACAATTTAAACTTAAAGCCTGAGGCGCATTGATCTCCAGACTATCCGTGACCCTCACTCACAGTAGCACAAACGCGAAGTCTCCGATGAGCAAATCCAGGCACACAGCAACCCAAACTGTCAAGCCATCAAATGCAGACGCCCACAGTCCTTCACACGGACATGTGCACTGACTGAAAGTTAATCAGACGCGTCCATCGAACCCACTAACACACACTCACGAACACATGTAAAACTGGAGAAAACACTTTCACACTGAATCAAAGCAGCCTCTGTTTTTCTTTGGTCTGAAACCCCCTTGTGGTAGCCAGACCTCGCGCTGTCACTGCTCATCAGTCAAGCGTAGGAGGGGGACAGCGTTGACTATCTGCTGCATGTCGCTGCATGTGTGTGCAGCTCTGGAGCGGCCCCGGGGCCTGGGCCAGCATCCCAGCCAACCCAACCTCTCGCCATTTTAAGGCCGCCCATCCCACAAGGGGGATCGGCTCCAGATTCTGACGCTGACCTTATGCTGCCCTCCTGTTTTGCCAGGACACACACATGCAACTAGTTTACATATTTACAGATTTTGTTCCCATCCTTTGCTATGTTATGTTTTCTCAATTTTTGGAACATTCTCCTCAGAGTTCCTGTAATTAAATGTCCAGTCCAAAGCAGAAAATCACAATAGTTCTCAAGAAGTAATTTTGGAAGGGTAAGATTAGCAAATGTAGAGTCAGCTGAAAAGAAATAGATCCATCTTTGGCATCAGGATAATGTGAGAGGTTTATGCAAAGTACTTTATTCTCCTTTCTTACACTCATATCAAGTTTATGGTTTGAGTAGTGAAAAAACAAAAGGTGGATGAAAACCGAACAAAGATTGTTTGTAAAGGTTTCAGTGTTTCCATTTGTGTCCGGTAGATTTACACATGGATTATCGAGCCTGTGCCACCTCCGCGTTAGGGAACATTGAGTGCATAAGTAGGAGACATTTCTCTCCTCGTCAAGATCAATTTTTATGTGACAGAAAGCTCCTCATGTGTTAAACAAAGGTCAACAACCATGCAGGAATAAAAAAAAAGGGGCAACTTCATCAGGGAGAAATATAAATCAGAGCAAATTGTACACCCACACTTAGAATAATATAAGTCAAGATAATTTATAGTCACCGGACTAAAACATAAATAAGGTAAATTAATGGTAACATACATTTTAATTCCTTATATATTTACTTTTTATATATTTGTTTAAAGTTATGACTTCACACTTGGTCCACACTTATTATAGCACATGCATAAATCCTAAATATGCCTAATTTTTGATTTTAATAAATGCAGCAGAAGGCTTATTTGCAGGAAAAGGCCGACACAGCAATTAGAAGTCAAGTGATGACTTTTATGCTTGAACAAGAAGCAATCAGCTGAAACTGCTTGAAATAGCGGAGATACAATGTACACATCTTGGATGCACCTGGGAAACTGTAGTATTTGAAACAAAGAGCCCCAAGGCTGCATAATTGAGTATAATCTCGGAAGTGAAGCATCACTAATCTTGTACACAAAGCAAAGCTGAGATATGATTGGTATCGTTTGTTTTTCTCTTCACTTATCCGAAAGAAAGTTTCTGGAATTCTCCATTAAAGCTTAAGGTCTTACCACCTAATGTGTCGATATTTCTTTCCTTGCTGACCAACGGAGCAGCAAACCAGACAGGTAAGAGAGAGAAAGAAGCAGGAAAACTAATCCCTTTTAAACCCTTTTCTTTATTCTTAGACTTGTTCATATCATATCTAAACATATGGAAATTGGTCGTCCACTGGAGTTGAGGTCATTTGTGAAATCGGGCTTGTTCAAAATGAACATATGTTCAAACAGGCTGTGTACGACTTGGAAAGGGATATTATTTCTAATGCAGCTGTCAGCAGGCATTTATAGAAAGCTCATACTTTTCCTACTAATAAACTTGGAATTCATCAGACATGGATATTATTAGTATGCTGTAATTACTTTACAACTACCAGTGTTATATTGATTCTTTTGATTTGAATATTTTATGAAATTGTAATACAGCAGCTTATTTATTGAAAAGAGAAGAGAGGAACTATCACAGATATAAAAACAATGTAAAAAATAATGAATAATACCTTAAAATAATTAATAAAATAAAAAGAATACTCAACAACATAATACAAGTACAATAGCACTTTCATGAATGATGTCTTTGTGCTGCATGTAAAGTTATTATTGTTTCAAACCGGAGCAGTTTACATTATAATGCAATAATTGCTCAAACTACAGCTTCAGAATTACTGCAGAGTGGAATAATTATGTTATCTTACACAGCCATTGAAAAGTGAACAATACAGGCTTCACAAAGGTAGTAGTTAATAGCTCACAGCTACTGTAGTGGATTGTGTTATACTGCGGCGTAATGATGCTATTTAGTCCAACCCCCTGTCGCTGTAAGTAAGATGTAAGGATGTAGCCCTTTCACCTTCCTAATTATACATCTGCCTTCATCATCCAGTGAGACCACAAGGCACCCTTTGCGGTTCTGGTTTCTGTTGTGTGCAGTGTTTTGAGCCAAACAGGAACAAAATACCCCAAATAATAACAATTTGCTGTTTATTCTGCAGAAAAAGAGCAGAATCTGAAGCTAGAAAAGGCAGTCTCCCCAACAGCAAGGAAATGCCACTGCATCATCCCACTGATCCTGTGGAGCTGCGACGTCTCAACTTCCAAACACCCGGTGAGTATTCAAGATGAAGCCGGTGACATCTGTGGGATGGAAACTGTTGGCGATGCTACTGACTGCCTGCTTTAAGTTGTATTTTATTTTTCCACATTTAGCTACATAGCATCCCTTGTCCACTGCGGACACTTAATACAATAACGTCCTCGTAAGGTCCCATCATCTTTGCAGTGAGATTGGCATGATACAAACAAGCAATTTGCAGACAGCGGACAGGTGCTTAGAGAAGGCACAGAGGGTCAAAACTGACAGTGTCCTCCCTGGAGGCCCTTATCAGTGGAAAAATGAAGAGGCAGAAATGCAAGCTTGACAGTTTCACGACACCTGTCATCTTCCCCTGCACCTGGGTTATCCAGGTCATCCAGACTTGTCATGCTTACTCAGACAAGCGCCCTGCTGCTGGACGTCCGCGGTGCAGCAGGTGAGGGAAATACAAAGTGAGCCGTGGTTCTGTGCTTTATTTAGCAGGTAGATGAGTGGCGAGCTGAAAAACGCTTGTGTTTACTCGCTCTGACCTTTAGTGCTGAGGTGAGTGGTGGTCAGCGGTCACGCCGTGGCTCGTTCCTCTTGTCGTTCCTCGACTGGGGAGTCACAGTCCATTTATCACCTGGAAAGGTGGAATGCATCTCTGCTGGCGCGCTGACGTACTTAACTGCCGTTTGAGTTCCTCTGGCACCGACTGCTTTGGGACAGGTGTTCAGGGACTGCCAATAATGTTGTAAAATCAAAGCCATATTTTTCAGGTCAGCTAGTATGAAAGGAGGATGAATTATCTCCGCAGGCTCATTTTTGAAAAAAAAAAAAGATTATGCATATTTATGAAAGCTCTTCAGTGATGTTAGGACCATTACTGGCTGTTTCATCCTGGCAGAGGGGTATTTTTCCTTTTGGCTCGGAGTGATCTCAACCATCCTCCCACTATTGCACTCGCCTCTCAAGCCATCATTTTGTTCCCCCAACAGCCTTTCTAAGAGCTTGGCTGTCTCCGTGCACGAAAGGAACCAAACATTTTTCTCGCCTCCACGTGACCACTTCCTCTCAAGTCCTGAAGCATTTCTACATTAGACCACCTCTCTCCACCCTTCCTTCCACCTTTTTACCCCTCAGTGGACATTTTCATCTTGAGGATGCTTGATGCGACGGCGTGTTGGAAATGGTACTTTCATTGTCGCCCTGTGGTGGAAATGGATTTTGAGTAGTGCGCCGCGATAGCAACACCCTTTGCAGTCTTTCAGATAGAGACGCGAGAGTGGGAGGGAGAGTGACGCACGGCATCCATTAGCTAATGCCCACTTGTGTGTGCATCCAAAATGAAACACCACCTCATTGTCGGAGAGGGAGGCCATCAACCAACTGGTGTGTCAAAATGGCACCTGAATTCTTGAGTCACAGATCTTTAGCCGTGGGCTTGATTCCAACCAACGCACACAAAAAGGTTTCTTTTGCACTTTTGATCTTCTTTCCTCATCTACACTAAAAAGAAATGAAACAGCATATGTATTTAATTTAGTTACGTCAACCTGTCCCACAAAACTAGGATGAATAAATGGGAGAATGACTAGAGATGTAATTATTACGACGCTTTTAAGCAGATCTTATGAGCTACATCACACAGACTTTGGATTTACAAAACACAAATGAGTTGTTTTTATGTTTGTTCCAGTAAATAACACAAACCATGTCACTTTACCTGACTTTATTAAACTTGACATATTTAATATCATGTGATATTTAACAATGTCAAGTTTACACTCTCAAAGTCAAGTTAACTGCAGGATGAAACATTATGATGCAGACTATGCAAGTAGTATATCACCACGTCAGCACCCTCAGGCTATAACGAATGTCAAATAATATCCTATGGGTGCTCGACTTTGGTTTGTGCGGCTGGGATTTGTATCCTCTGTATGCTTTCTTATGTCTATTAAATACGCTCGGTGGCATTGTCAAGCTTCAAGCATGATCATGTGTATGTTACTAATGAATGTCCCGTTTAGAGTACACATAATCATTCAGCTTCACATTTCAATTTCTACATTTGAATACATCATGTTGCTCTGAGGTCTGTAATATATTTGATCACACCGCCGTTTCCTCCGCAGGTTCAGGTGCGCCCAGTCACCCCAGTAACCTCCATTTGTCAAGTTAGTTGGTCTCGATTATGCATTTGACATGATTTTTTTTTTTTTTTTAGCTTTAATTCCCTTCTTTTCCATCCTAGTCTTGTATTCCCATCCTCATCTAATCCATCTGGTGTAATGCTACGTCATCACAGGAGGAGGAGTTTGAAATGACAGCCTGAAAACATCTCATCACTCAAAGCAGACGTCATCTGGCCTAACATTTTGAATGTCTTTTTTTAGTTTCTTTGTTTTTTGGGGATGTTTTTCCATCTGCGTTTTCCTGCCATGCTAACCAAACACCAGCTTTCTGTGCCAATAACTTTCTTCTCTCTCAGTAGGGAGAGTCCCAGTGGGAGGGAAGTGTGCTCGATGACTCTCATTGGCTTCTGTGTCCATATACTCTTTATGAGCATGGCCACTGCTTTGAGTGAACAACCTAGCCTAACAAAACCCACTCTTCCACCACCTCCCCCCCTGTTAAACACACATGCTGCTTATCTAATGATTCCCTGTTGGCTTGTGCTTGGGTAATGACCTCTTACAAGGCTCGTGACTGACCCTCAGTCCATCTTATTGACAGGCATGGCAAGCCACCCTCCGATCCCCGTCATGGACCTGGCAGATCATCAGGAGCGCCTGAAAGCCAACGACAATCTCAAGTTTTCACAGGAATATGAGGTGAGCGTCAGCCGAGCCCCGATGTTGATTGCGCGTAAACACCGTACCACCATATACACGAGAAAGCCCCAGGTGCTCACATGAACGCAGATTTTAAACTGCTGTCGCTATTCAGTGCGGTGGGCAAAGACCACAGTCTTGCATTTAACGATATTTTCCTGGAGGGCTTAATCCTACCAATGCATACCCATGCCAACCACACAGCAGTTCCATCATGACAACAATGTGACAACTGGGTTTGGTGGATGAGCGCCCAGTCGGGGGATTAGGGGCTATATTCATGAAGAAATATCGTCATCAGGATAGTTTACAGATTTAAATTTAGCCGGTATGATTTTTTTCATGTCGGGCCTTTTGACATTGCATAGCTGGAAATTAACAGGTTTAATTAATAACATTAATAATGGCTTTAGTTCACTTCCAGCACCAGGTCCCTGCTAGCTTGCTGACACGACTTACGGAGACAGTCAAAAGGACGACAGGACATTATTAATGTTTTTAGCTTCACCTCTGCTTTTCTTGCTATGCCGTAAAAACAAAGATCACAACGATGCTAAGTTCAGTATTTACAAGGAACAATCTTTATTTATAAACTCTGTTAATTTGGGAGGTTTGCTAAGTGCTCAAACTTTCTAATTCCATCACTTCAAATTATATTATTCCCGTTCATGTTACCTCCGCTGTTACATTTTTAGCATGTGCAATAACCTTGAATAATCGCACTAAAAGTCTGGGAGTGCTGCGATCCGTACCCAGAGGCAACCCTACACCTTGCAGTATGAGGGTGTTGGATAAAGTCAACAACATACAAGCAGTGCACTATATACAGAAAGATATTCAACGTGTTTATCCTTGAGAACCCTCTCGCTTTACTGCTAAGTTGAGAGATGTGACTCATGCACTCCGAGACCTGGATGTTTCAAAGGCTACGGATTACTGACACGACGAGATCATTTATAACTACACTTCAGCTGAAGTCTCACTCTGCAAAGTATGGGCACTACAGAGAATTTAAAATGCGATGGATATGCATTGTGCAAATAGACCTGCAAATCTAAAAGTCTGATGGAGAAAGACAAATATTAACGTGTGGAGTCTGAAACACCTTTGCAAACAAGAGGTCCTTTCTGTGGCATTGTGGGACATGGGAACAGTCTCCCTTTCTCTGCCCATTTCTCTCCACGGGCCCCGGCAACGGCTCCAGAATCTATGAGGTCACCACATGGCTGCCTGCCAAGCCGCCCAATCATTATTGCAGCTTAAATACACTGACTTCCAATTTCATCGTGCTCATTCGAGAGCAGTGGAAAGCAATTTTGCAAGCACAATAAAATGACGATTTTGATTACGAGCAATGTTGCATCCCTCAGTTTCAACAGATTTCGATAAAATATCAGACTCTGTTGTTTGCCCTCTTCCTTATTGCTGCTTCAGGTAAATCACGCAGATAAGGGACATGGTCGGAAATAGAAACACAGCTAATTTAGACACATTTCTTGTTCATATAAGATCATTTTCATATTGAGATGAGTCCCTATCTCCTAATGTGTCGGTTAATCACACTTTGATTTCTTCAACTTTAAGTTCAGAGATTAAAACATGAAAGTATCCTGACGTCATTTAAAACGCAAGCATAATATTTTCCCTACAATATGAAATGGAATTATTTATTTCATGTTTTTATATCGTCCCTTTGTGACATATTTTACAGCTCATTTATTGGTGATAAGGGGCTGTTAACAATCTCTGCTTTACAAAGCCGAGAGAGGACTCGGGGAGCAAATTCTGTGAAACTAGTCTCAAGTGTGGTATTCTTGTATTTGCCATAAAGTTCTACTAATCAAATGTGCAAAGCCAAAGGAGCACGGGCTTTTCCTTCGTGACCCATTCAGATGTATCTTTTTGTAAATCCAATCATTTATATGCACCAGTTATTCACAAAGCAAAAACATAGTTAATTTCATTCATCCATAAAAAAAAAAAACTGAAGTTTAAGATTTGATGATTAAAAGAGCAAACTTCTATTCCAGTGTCAGTTGACGCCTTATTCTCTAAATAGGTCAGAGGTCAAGCAATAATTATGATTTAATTTTGACCTCTATATCAACAACATGACATATTTTATGGTAACAAGGATTTTAAGAGCATCTACATTAACTATGTAGAGGACCCCGGTGATTATTTAATTGCATCGGAGTCTACAGTATTTAGCCTGAAGTACAATCATTGCTTGATTTGTTATATGGATGTAATATGAAACATGTTACGGCATTGAAGTAAAACACTTTCCTTTAAAATAAAGGAGAATTAAAAAGCATGATATTAGAAAACTGCGTCCAACTTAGAGGTGGACTGTTAACTGTCAAAATAATTCTATTGATTAACGAAGCCGTGGATGAATATGTGATCATGTGTGATTGTATTCTTCTCACATTCTGAACATATCAAGCTCTAAAAGGGTCTTTAACATGATGTTAATGACCTTGAGGGGAACCTTTCATGCAAGGTAAAATCTAAGTTGAAGGGCCAGAGACAAAGCAATTTTGTCAATATTTTACAACCTTTCTTCATCACTGTGTTGTACACATGAGGGGGTTTAACGGTAGCACTAAAAATCAATATTATGCATTGCATTAACATAGAATTTGTATTCTTAGCATGTACTCTGTAGTAAAAAAAATGTGATCAGTGCAAATACCTGTAAAAGTCCTGAATCAATCGATCTTCCACAACCATAAACCGACTTCCTCAAAGATAGTCGAGATAAAGCTTGAACCGTTCCTCTGTTCCACTATGTTTATATCGTGCACAATATGTTCATGTAATAACAACACATTTTCTTGACTTCCAGTCCATCGACCCCGGTCAGCAGTTCACGTGGGAGCACTCTAACCTGGAGGTGAACAAACCAAAGAACAGATATGCCAACGTGATCGCGTACGACCATTCCCGAGTCCTGCTCTCCGCTATCGACGGTAAGCCACCCACCAGCACCTTCCATCCCAACGTCTGTATCGATCCCTCAGACAGCCAGTGCAGCCGTATCTCCAAGACCTCAGGAGCACAACCACAATGCACTTTTAAATTATATGCCTACACAAGCATGTCAGACTACTACTTTTCTCTCATGCCCAAGGTGCTCAGAAAAGAGAGACTTGGAAGCTATTTGACAATTTCCTTTTCAAATGTCGAGGCAAGCAATCGGATAAACCAGTCACCTACAGTGAGAGATGGAAATAAGTTTTAGCAGCTTCTATTTCTTTCACTTCATGTTCTGTGAATCTTTTTTAATACCATGTGCTTACAGTTTGTTTAAAGCAATGGTTCGTTACTTGAGCAAATGCATTTATGGAAACCAGAGCAGTGAGCACACAAGGAATACAGAACACAGGGTAGCTTATTATTATTTGCTCTACATATTACTGGTGCATTCGTTCAAAAACAGTAAAGCAACCTGGTTGAGGTTGACAAACAGAACTCACAGCTAAATATATACAAATAAAGATAGAATACTGGCATAATTGACATGGTGTTGCTAATATATCATAAGGATAAGACGTATTTAAGATATGGTTGCAGTACAGGTTTGTATTTTCAGAATTTCACACAAGCTCATCCAGAACCTGACTTGAACTCGTCCACTTAAAGTCTTTGGCACATTTAAGATGTGTTGCCCAGTACAGCTTCTAAGGAATTAAGAGCCTTTTTGAAATGGCTAGTTAAGTACTGGCTCCTCCGCCCGTTTATTAAATTAACGCAGTTACACAGCAACACAATTGCACACACACAAACAGCGACTAATTAACCATTTCCATTGAGCCGCTCCCATGGAGGGCACAGGGAAATAAACAAAGTCGTATATGGCTATTGTGACAAAAAACAGATAGATGGACTTAGAGAGCCCTGTTTTGAAGTCTCTCGGAAACAACACACGGTTTGAGTGTTGACGGAACGCCATCGGCCGGGCACATACACATCTGCACAACCACATTGGAGCCTTTGTGCTACAGCAAGTGAGTAGTTCTCAGCCAAGGGGACATGAGGGACTTCCTCTTCTCCTTCTAAGCTTAAACAAAGCCTTTTGGCAAGCAATGCGTCCATTGTTTACTTTGATTGAGTTCTTTGAATAAAAAGGGATTTGGGATTTGACATCAGAATTTGAAGACAGCTACTTTCAATTTTATTGATGTGTGGACGGATCAGCAGGATCTTTGGGATACGGGCGCTCTGATGCCCGGACAACATTTGCGGACTTTAACGGTTGCGATATCGCTGCATTCGCTCCACTTTAGACGACTGACAAGGAACCTCTCGCCATGTTGCCTGACCACACAAAACACGGGCTAAGCAGGATTAAACTGGTATCTAAAGTTAATCCTGCAAAGTTGGTCTACCCTTGATTTGGCTAAAGTGTTCACTTTGAAATATCAATTAGTATGTGTTAGTTTTTGTCGGCATTGTTGCTGCAAATTCCATGTTCCACATCAAACTCAATGATTTTATGTTATTTTTGGAAGATTAAAGTGACTCGTTTTCTCCATTGTTCTATATTTAGTGTTGAAGCTGTCACAAGTTCAATTACATTCAAATTTACAAGTCTGATCTGATTCGATGACGAGAGCCGTGCTTGAGTCACTAACACCCTGTTTTACAAAGAGGTCATTTTATTTTAAAGAAATCTAATCGAGCTCTAATATGACAACTTTATTAATCTGTCTGGAACTGAGACAATGAAGGAATGGGAAAAATGTGTGTGATCATCTGCTTGCAAATGTAAATGAATGTACGATTGCTAGTGCCGCTACAACCACTACTCATCATGATCAGAACTACAATGTTGCCTCCTAAACTCTTTCTGTATTTCCTTTGAGATTCTTTTGCTTTTCAGGGTGATGACTGTGTCCTGAAAAAACAATGAAGCAATGTTTATTTCTCGATAAGCACCCTGACAGAGAAAATTGAACATTTTATACAAATCCTGAGTGACAGAAAGCATAAAAAGGCCATTTACAAATACATTTTTTTGAACAACTTGCCTCGTTCTCATTAAACCGCAGTAATGTCTCTTTTTGCTTTCCTCTTTTCAATTTGAAAACACACTGGGTTTAATTGTATTTATCCCTTGTCCATCATGGAAATGTACAGCCGCCTGCCTGTTTGGACATCTTCAACTGCAAAAGGAGAGGGTGGGGGAAGAGTAGAGAAAAATAAAATGATGCGGGTGGGTTTTTGAATGTGTTCACATTCCATTTCCTTTGCTTTTTTTTTATGCTGAATAAGTTACCTGCGAGTAAAAGGCAGTCTGGGGAAGAGGGGAGGGGGGGGAGCAGTTGGAGTGAGGGGATTCTCTGGGACGTGGCGTCCATGCAGATGAGACTTATCTCGGTCGACCATGTGTGCACGGAGCCCCTAAACTGCCAGTCCTAAAGCATTGACTAGCTGTCAGCTCTGTCTCTTCCCCTGGATTCGAAAAGGCTGCTGCGCCTTTCATTTAATATACGCAAAGGGAAGGAGGAGTGAGCGGGGAAGAGAGAGGGTGGGGGGGAATTGTTTTGCTAGCTTTTTTTGTTGGTTTGTTTTTCTCCGTGTGAGGTGATAGACTTGAACAGACCGAGTTTTATCTGTAAGTCAGTTGCAGATATGGAAGAGGGACACAGAAACTGTGGATTTAAATGTGTTGTTGATAGCATAATACAAATCCTTGTGGACTAGAACTCTGGTCCCCAACTAGACGGCTTTGTGCTTCTTTTTTCAATTTCATACCGAGAGAAAACGTGGCTTCACTGACAGCAAACAGAAATGGTTTTATCTGATCCACATCCGAATCTGATGTTATGTTGTGAGAGTGGGGACTGATTTAAGAAGCCACTTCTAACCATTTTATTTTAGATACTGAAATCTCATGTATGATGTATTTTTAACCGTAACAATAAATATCCTCTCAGGGATCCCAGGAAGTGACTACATCAATGCCAACTACATCGATGGCTACAGAAAGCAGAATGCCTACATCGCCACCCAGGGATCTCTGCCAGAGACATTTGGCGACTTCTGGAGGATGATCTGGGAGCAGCGGAGTGCCATCATCGTAATGATGACCAAACTGGAGGAGAGGTCCAGGGTAAGAGAGAGAGATACAGAAACATACAGAGAGGCATATTATTTTGTGGTGCACTGCACAAAATAAAGTGAGTGGTATTCAACTGAAAAGACAGGGCTGAACTCAGGAGGAAGGTTTTTATGAATGTTTAGGCTGTGAGAGCTATTTCTTCCACAAATGCAGTTTTTAGGCCAATTTAATAGTTTTTCCATTCTTTGTTTGACTTTGAAATTTTGCAACGTAGTCTTCCAACTCTTCTCAACCTTTATCAGTCACACAATCAGTTTGACATCCCTGTCCCTCCTTATCTCCTATTTTCCCATTTAAACTGTACAGCATGTTGTACTCCGGCCCTCTTCATATTCATTCTCCAGGAGGAGCCGGGTTGCTCTCTGCTCCCCACTTATATTCTCAGTCCTCTCTTTATGACAACACACTATCACACACCGAGCCACACAGTCGAGACAGACTCGTGACTTCCTTCATTAGCCAAGCATCCCCTGAAAGCAAAAGGTTTACTATCAACGACAAAAGAGACTGAAAGAATCTCAAAAGCTACCTCGTCCAGTCGTACGCGTTCACTGCGCGTTTTACGGTTTGCACGGTCAAAAGACGCTTCCTCCCTCCCTGGCACATCTTAAAACTGTTTCACTGAACACATGAAAGCTTTCATAGGCGTCATAAGCTACTGACCTTCACACTTGTATGCCTTTTCTAAGAGCTTGGCACAGTGTTAACTGGAGTGCTGACTCAATTCAGAGAACGGCTTTTACTCTGTATCCATACAATATGCAAAGCAAATAAGCTCCTTTGGCTGTTGTACAATTTCATAGGGACTATAAAATGAATGTGACCTCAATTAAACGGGGTCCATGCCGTCAGGTGACAGTTTCTCTCCGTAGATGCTTTGTGATAGCAGAGGCTTCTTGGAAGACATCGTCAACTGCGTTTTCATATTAATCAGATAATTATTACTAGATTACTTCTGGTGTCCAAATCACTTATTTGCTCCTTGCATCAGTTTTCAAATCAGTGTACAAATACACAGAATAGTACACGTAGTAGGCATATTTCAAACTGGTGTCCGGTTGAGCATGCTGATATTTTGAAAGTGTTGAACACACTGCTTTAACCCCATCAGTTCCTATGACAATATTTAGAATAACTATTGAACTGAATCACTTATTTCCTCTCCATCACCAACGGTACTTCCCTTTGTCGGCCAAGCAGTAACGCTATAATGGAACCGTGTTTTATTGGTCGTTCAATGGGAAACAAAGCTGTGCGAGCGAGTAGCAATGAAGCTGAGGTGGTAATATGATTGGAAACTGTGGTTACCTATGTAATTACAGAGTCTGTCATGACAATTGATAGCACTGTCGGGCTTTATACACAGATCTCAGGCCATTTCATTGATTATGAAATCAGTCGGCAGGAATGAAGAGGATTAATTTCACTATTATTTGACTATATGATTGTGAATGCTGGAGGTAAAAGATTATTTGTACAATGTTAGAAGGTTTAAAAATAACATCCAAGCTGATTTGTTGGAGCTACAGGGGATAGAGACGTCGTATATTCCCACCTGGCCCGTGTTTGATGTGATGTTTCTGTCTGTTACAGGTGAAATGTGACCAGTACTGGCCCACGAGAGCGACAGAAACCTACGGCCTCATCCAAGTGACGCTGTTAGACACAGTAGAGCTGGCGACATACTGTGTCAGGACATTTGCACTTTTTAAAGTAAGCGGCGTTTGAATGCTGTTATCCTCTGAAGCCACATGGGCAACATCATAACTGTCGGGTAGTTCAGTTGAGACTTGGCGATCACTTACCTTCCTCCGTCTCCACATTCAGAACGGCTCCAGTGAGAAGAGAGAGGTGAGGCAGTTCCAATTCACAGCCTGGCCAGACCACGGGGTACCGGAGCACCCCACCCCATTCCTGGCCTTCCTGAGACGGGTGAAAGCCTGCAATCCTCCAGATGCGGGGCCCATGGTGGTACACTGCAGGTAAGAAACACGGTTCCATGAAAACATCCTGAAGCATGAAATTGATTTTTTTCTCTCCATTTGCTATAATGAATATATGAATACATATGAAAAACACAATATATTCATGGCTATTTAGAGGTTTATGTCTGAGTCATCTGTTGAATAATGAAGATTCCTGGGATGAGATTAGATATGAATCAGAGGTAAGTGTATTAAGAGAGTATTTGATATAACAGTGGGCGGTCTGCAGACTTTTTTTTTGTTTAAACTTTCAAACAAATAATAAAGTACGCAGCATTTTATTACATTTACACTCACACCAATAGAACGATTAGACGGCTTTGCTCCAAATTACATTACGCCTCCATCATAGGGTCTTTTAATGTGTGACAGATTTGGGAAACAATTCAACGTGGGCCAGCTACATGATGGATGAGGAGCTGGTGCCAAAGTTTAACTCAGATTTGAATGACCTGTTTTGTTTTGATGCAATCTGTTTTAAATGCAATGTGCAAAATTCTCCTAAGCAGAAGGTTATTGTTCGATCCCCGTCTCCCCATTCCACAAGTTGTCCTGTTGCACACTGATACTGAAGATATTGAAGCCCAAATTGATGGCTAGTGCCGGTCGTGTATGAGTGACTAGATGCACTGTGTGAATGGGTGAATGGAAAAACTGCACTTTAAGTAGGGCTGTGGCAGGATCTGCATTACCGCGGTCATGTGATGCCTACCGCAGTGAGGGAGCGCATTACAGTCATCACTGCAATTTTCCGTTTTGCTGGTGAAAGTAACATGAGTGCGGATGACCACTCCACAGAGCCGGGGCACGGACCCAGGGACCACGGACAGCTCCACAGCTTCACCATGTCTGCTGACAGTGTTCATTTTGGGTCTTCTTAATTAATACTCAATCGATAGGATAATGTAAAAATATATTTTTCAGATTTATTGGCTGTGAGCGGCCCCCTCCTCAGCCCTCCATACATTGAAGTTTACAAGTTATGTTGTTTTACCCAGTCTGAGAGCGTGTCTGGGGGAGAGAGGGGAAGAGAGCGATCTGAGTCAGTGTGTGTGTGTGCACACAATTCAAATCGTGGATCATTAATGTGTATTACTAAATGTGTATTCAATTTGATAGGAAGTACACTGTTGACCACTGTAGCCCAAACAATTCAGCTCACTATCAGCTCACTTCACAAAAGGCCCCATAAATCGGAAGGTGTTTTTCGACATCACAGCTCAACGAGTGCCAGTGTCACCGCCCTCGGCAAACCTTCAACATCTCCTTTCACACGCTGACACATAAACACATGCAGACCTGTCGTCCTCCCCGCCTCATCACTAACGTGTCACACATCAGAAGCCCCACAAGTCCAAGGTTTATCCCTCTCGGGTGACTGCGTCTGAAACACACAACTTTCACTTTCATGCCAACTCCGCTTCCCTCAGCTACAAAAGCGGCCAGACTCCCTACAGAGAAGGCACAAAGATATGAGGCAGACTTCTGGCTCCTCACAAGTCAGGAAGGCTTCAGAGACTCTTCACAGAGAAAGCAAGTGACTGAAAGGGTGAAAGGAAAAAAAAAAAAAAGACAGCTGAAATGAAGAAACAGTGATAGCGAGTGTAACAGATACAAACTTGTGTTAGAAAGTGACAAAAAAGGGAAGGGGGGGGATTACTGGAGAATTAGAATTACCACATGCTGAAGTTAATTAGAGCTAGTTGCCGAATCGCTTCAAATTGAAAATCCCGACTTTTACAATGAAGCAGACTGCAGGAATTAATGTCACTCTGCAGATGGGAGGTTTTAATTCCTCTGGCTCGCTATCAGATACCGTCGCTTCCAAGCTGCAAATCCTCAAAGAGGCATTTCCTCTCTTCATGTTTGACCAAGATTTTAAATAGAGCCGTCTTTTAAATGCACTTCCTTGTGAAATAATGTTGCGCGTGTTAAATGATGAGAGATATTTTGGAGATAAATATATTTTCGCGGTAGAAATCGACATTATTTTTTACTTTGCTCAAGCTGCTTAAGCACATGCAGAAAGTCCTAAACAACAGCTAAAAGGAAAATATATAATTAGCATCGTGGTGCAGTCTCTTGAGTGATTGATTAATTAGTTGATGCACCAAATTTGCTTACCACATATCTACACGACTTATGTAAAGACCATAAAGACATAGGAATAAGCAATCAAGAGCTCTGGATGAGATTTGTTTTCTGTGGTGGCTTATGGGCTTTATGTTACTTTTAACTGTTCAAAATTAAATGAACAATCCACTAATTAGAAATTTGTGAATTTACCATATTTATTATTGTCTCCTGACGGAAGTGGGACATCCAGGTCTTTAGATAGAACCAGGTCTAACTTAATTTTTTAACAGTACAATGAGAAACATCAGATACGTATCTAAAAACTACGAAAGTGACGCAAACTGCAGCAGAATTCCCTCGAATTACTCGAGTTGAACCCTCACTTCCTCTGACTTTACTTTGCAAGTGCAATATGTTCAGCTTTGATTACACAGTGACATTTTCCCAGTGTTATTTTAATATTGCATTAAAGTAAAATTAGGATTAAAATAATTTTCCTTGTAAATCAGAGTCTCACAAACTGAAAGAAAGATAAATTATGACAGAGGATGAAACCAGACTAAGCATTTTGTGCTGCACATGCTTAAGGGGCATTCTTATCACTGGTCTAGTGGGCGGCTATTGTATCCTCCCAACAGGATCTTTTAAAAAAGATTTCTCAAAGTGCACTTATGTGTTTCCATTTTACAAGTGGTGAGATCACAGTACGTTTTGTGCATATATAAAAAAAACAGGATTAAACGCCACCGAAAGGGAAACTTTAGATGCTAGATTTCATTAAATCTAAAAACCCATCGATTCAATGAATTCAAATGATAAATTGAAGTAAAAAAATCCCATTAACAGCAACTGCTGTTTTTGACTTTATTTGCAAGAGCAGATCTAAAATGGTGTCTTATTTCAATGTTTGTGTCCCCCGCTGTAACTTTGAATTGCAATCATCTTAATCACAACTCACGGCTCATGTTTTATACACGTCATTCCCTTTGCACTGTAAATATTTGCAAAAACTACAAAAGGCAATGCATCACGTTTTCTGTTAACGGCTAAAAAAATATCAGCACAACCAAACTACACCTGCTAATATGCATTTTAAGCTCGTTATTTGCTTAAATGACGTTCCTGGCCCCGCCTCTCTGTCATCAGACGACACTGTTCACTGCTTTGTGAAGGAAAAGCTGCAAAGTTCACTCGGTGAGCGAATGCAAAGCCTGTTTGAAAACAAACCTCCGAACCTCCTCACACTGTTTTGATTTGCTTTCAACAGTTTGAGACGTACTCATGCACGCAAAAGACTATTGACTCCACGAGTGATCCTGGCGAGTTCGAGGTTGTGTCTGTGCTCAATAAGCAGAGTGGGGAAATGGTGACGAGTTAGCTGACAGCAAGCGATTTTGGTAACAATACATATGTAATTGCTTTCACTGCTGCTTGTGCTTTATCTGCGCGGGACTCTTTGCAGCTGTATTTTTTAACGCTGCACTTCCCCCCCCCCACCAACCCCATATTCCCTAAACTCCTGGAAAGCATATTAGTCTGACACTTAATGTGTGTCGATGTCCAAAGCAGCTGGTCTTGACTGGCTGAAAAGGCAGTGTCAGGTCATTAGTGCAGTCAGTCCGCCAGCTCCCCTTCAACTGCCAAATGCACCGGCGGCTTTCTGCACCACCTCTCTCTCACACACACACACACACACACACACACACACACACACACACACACACACACACACACACACACCATCACATGCAATAAAGGAATATGACACGTTTCTAGCTTTTTCTGGTGATTTAGGAAAAATTCTGGTCAATATACGCTCCTGCATCTCACTCTTTCAAAATACACAATTTCCAGATAACTTGCCGCATCTCTCTCTGCACAATTCGACCTTCCCTTTCCTCACCCCTCTCCCCCATTCCTCATCTTCCTCTGTCTCCGTCTCTCCAGCTCAGCACTGTCACCCTGTCACTTACTCTCTCACAGGTCATCACTCTCCCACGTTCGGGTCTGTACTATAAAATGTTTTCAGATTGAAAGCAGCTGGGGTAAAGGGAGAAATCTCTTCTACTTTCTGCATCCCCGCCCAAGGGCTGAGGTGTTCTCAGACCTGGAAGTGATTCATTCTTTCAAACATCCCCGGGACAATTTCACATTTCTTTGCAGCCTGATTCTTTCTTTCACTCACATGCACATTTTGTAATTGAACCCAGAGCTGTGAGGAGTTGCTTCCAAAAAAGAATAACAAAAGAGTTGAGTTTCATTCAGCCAGTGTCAGCCATTTTGAACATGATCATCAAATCATTTGTTAAAGCCAATGGCTCCCGTACGTGTCTTTATTCCATCTGCAGCACAGTTCCAGTGCAGCATGGCACATTAACCAGACTTGGCCCCCAGGGACTAACTTTACTCCCTCTTGAGTTTTCCCTTCTCAACTTCTTTTCCCCCCGCCTCGGCGCAAATGAAAAACAAATGCTTCATCAGAAGGAGGAAAGCACAAAAGCATGGCTCACACCTCGTAGGCATGTCAGCTTAATGGATTGAATAACCTATTTACTTTGGAGTGCCAAATGCAAGGAGTAGTCTTGTCGATGCCTTGCTTTGCAGGAGGAGAGTTAACGGACAAAGATTTAACACCCTCCTGTCGCCCCCTGGTTAATAAATTGTCATCGGAAAACATCTGTGCTGAGGACCGTGCTATTAAAACGTGTAATGTGCAGCATTTTTGAGTTGTCAGCAGTCTGCAAAAGAGGGTTGCATTCATACAGCATGTCTCAAGCTGGCCTGCAAGGAGAGGTCAAAGAGAAACAGTAAAATACCTCCCCTCTTTGTCAGAGTGCTTTTTCACTTGTGCATTTTCTCACTAATGTAAAAATGTGCCGATGTGAATGGTAATGAGGGGACCTGCCTTTCAGAGCCTCTTCTAAAGCTCTTATGTCATTTAGGTGCGCTGCGCTCATATAGTGGTGTTAATTGAAGTCTGCTTCACTTCTCAGAAGTTAACAAAGCCCTCGAAAAAACTTGTACTTTCCAAATCGCGACTGCATCCGCATTTGTTGCAGTGGCACTTTTCGGGGAAACTATGGGACAAAGGTTAAATGTTGCTGTTGCGTAAGTGATTAGTCCTGATGGGTTGGAGAGCTCAGGTGGCATCCAGAGGGGAAGAGACGAGATTGCAAAGCCAGCAGTGAGCCGGCTGAACGCTGTGACTGCCAAGCCCTCTTCTCCACACAGAGCCACTTCAGATTTAATTACACCCCAGGCCGAATGTTCCATCCTATGGCGGCAAACTTGGCATGGAGCATTTACCTTTCTGCCTCATCACTGTGAGAAATTAGTAAAGCCCTGGACATTTTTTTTTTTTTTGTAGAAAAGACACCTTTCCACCCACAGGGCTGTCAGCTTTAGCTTAGGTGGTGGAATGGGTTGTCCGCAAACCAGACGGTTGGTGGTTTGATCCCCTCTCTGTGGCCTGGCTGGCTAATCCAGTCCGCATGTGTCCTCGAGCAAAACGCTCAACCCCAAATTGCCCCTAATGGCTGTACCAGTAGCATGTGAATGATGTGTGATAGAAAAGTTCGCTGTATGAACCTATGTATGAACGAGTGAATTTGACTTGTAGAGAAAAGAGCTTTAAGACTAAAAAAGCGCCATTTAAATGCAATTCAACTAACTGCCTCACCTTTTTTGTAGAGCTACAACCGCATCATAACATTCCTCCTCCTCAATCTTGTTTTGTTTACAGCGCTGGGGTGGGTCGCACAGGTTGCTTCATCGTGATTGATGCCATGATGGAACGTATCAAGCACGAGAAGACTGTGGACATCTATGGACACGTAACGCTAATGCGTGCCCAGCGCAACTACATGGTGCAGACAGAGGACCAGTATGTCTTCATACACGACGCGCTCCAGGAGGCCGTCAACTGCGGCACCACAGAAGTGCCCGCCAGAAACCTCTACGCGTACATCCAGAAGCTGACGCAGATAGAGGGCGGGGAGAATGTCACTGGCATGGAACTTGAGTTCAAGGTACAAAATCTGTTTCAAATTTAAACACTGAACACCTGATGTAAATTTCTTTCCATTAGAAACCTGTGTCTCAAGTCACACACGGGCCATGATGTCACACATCGGCCGTTCTCGGTGCAGCTCCTGAACTCGTTTCCACTTCCCATTAGGCCCACCAGACAGCATGGGGCCTGTGGTTTCCGCTTTACTCCCTTTAGTTGAGTCACTTGTATAACGCAACATAGGGTGAATTCCCCCTTTCTGTTTTCCCCTTCCCCATAGCTCCCTCTCCTTGAGCAACAGGGCTCTCGGTTTACATGAAAACGCCAAACACAGGTTTTCCCCACCACAGAACAGTTTCCAGAGGGACTTGAGCAATATATGCTGCATTTACAATGAGAGGCACAGCACAACTCTATCCAGCCCTCTGCAGGCTGTGGTGCTGCTGTATGCACCGTATTGCCTTTCTTGTCACGCACCTTCTTTCTTGCTCTGTGATAGATGTTGATTCCATGAAGAGATGATAAGCAGGTTAGATTAAATGGCACTTCTGTCCACTCCTGTCTCACTAGGGTATCCATGTCCCTGTCTTTTCATCACAACATGCTTTTTCTTTTAAAAAAGGGCAGGCTGTGATAGAAATCACTTTGATACCATTTCCATACTGTATGGTCACGTTAATAGCAATTATCCACAGTGCACCGTGAGCTATTAGAGAGCAGATCCCATCACTTCCTATGTACAGCTTATTACACCTTGTATTCTTCAGATCGTTATCGTGTACAATCTATCTTTAGTATCAAGCAGCGTCACAGGGGACTGTTGGTTCTCTTTCCCTGTCACCAGAGCACTCAAAGATACTTCCTTTTCTCTCCCTCTCCTGCAGCGTTTAGCCAACACTAAAGCCCATACATCACGATTCATCAGTGCCAACCTCCCGTGCAACAAGTTTAAGAACCGCCTTGTTAACATAATGCCATACGAGTCCACGCGAGTGTGTCTTCAGCCCATTCGAGGAGTTGAGGGCTCCGACTACATCAATGCCAGTTTCATTGATGGGTACAGGTAAGTGCTCAGATACTCCTTTGTCACCACCTTTGGATGTAAACACATTAAGGGCGTCACCATTACTGCCTATATGTTTATCTTTATTTGATTTAAATACACACACATCTGCTGCAGCATACTTTTACAGGCTAACTGTACTTCCATGCTGCATCACACTTTCTGCTCTTGTGATTGATGCTTTCCCATAGGCAACAGAAAGCCTACATTGCCACGCAAGGACCATTGGCAGAGACCACAGAGGACTTCTGGAGAATGCTCTGGGAACACAACTCTACTATCGTCGTAATGCTAACCAAGCTTCGAGAAATGGGCAGGGTACAAAAATGCTTTTTCTCCAGTGTTTGGACACATGAGGCTCCTTTGTGGGGCAACAGAACACAGAGGCAAACGTTACCAAACAAGCCTTATGTGAAATACCATACATTCATTCAGTCATGACTAGACAATGACAACATTTCTGGGAACGAACACAATGAAGAGAGTGTGTGAAGAGAATGTTTTGGCTCACTGTCGTATTCCCTTTTTCACTCCCCGCAGGAAAAATGCCACCAGTACTGGCCAGCAGAAAGGTCGGCCAGATACCAGTACTTTGTGGTGGACCCCATGGCCGAGTACAACATGCCCCAGTATATCCTGAGAGAGTTCAAAGTGACTGATGCCAGGGTAAGCGGTGCCGTTGTTAAAATTGGAAAACAAATTTATATGCAACATTTTTACATTTGACTGGACCTTCCAAAAAAAACTAAAAACAATGCATTTGAATTTTTTTTTGGGTGCATACGTATTAGTCAGAAAGCAGCTTACGTAGCTTGCATACAACTTCATATCAAGGTTCCACAATTTTTAGCATTTCCAAATGTGAGTTGGTTTGTGAACTCTCTGCCGTTAATAAAAAAAAAAGTGTTATTTGCACATTCCTTTTTTGCTCAGTTCCTTTATATTGATGATAGTGACTGTGTGACTCCGTCATGCAGTGAATTCAGTGCTGTGGCCCAGAGAGCTTGACAGGCAAATAGCTGCGTTAGTATTACATTCATTTCACTAATAAATATCAATGTACAAATATTTTTACAATCTGCTTATATAATCACATTTTAAATATCTATTGACATCTAGACCATTTCATAGGATATATTTTATGTAGATGGGAAACACTTTGGATTTAACATCAGACTGGATTTAGCTGCAGCAGTCGATGACAATTTTGGCTTTGTATCAAATATTTGTTTACACCAAGCTATGGCCTTAAGTGTAACATCGGCATAAGTGTATATTTGTAGAACTTGTGACACATGTCAATGTGAAAAAACAAACGTGACGCCGGCAGCAGGGAGCTGCCAGAGAGTTCTTAATTCCATCAAAGGCTTACATAGATAAATAGCACAGGCTCCCTTTGTAGTGCATGTTACACTGTCTCGTCAATGGGATTGCTTTCCTTATCAAGGGGATACAATATCACTTAAGTAATGCACACCCTCAAAGTCGATTCTCCAAGCACCCTGTCCTGTCGAGGGTAGCACATCAAAGCAAATAGCATCTTTCGCGTTTGTGTTAAATATATTCAGGTAAAATGACATGCATCTCTAATATCAAAAGATTTTCACTAATGCTTTAAGCTCGGCACCAGTTTTCAAAAATACAGTTAGGTATTATAAAAAACTACAATGGCGTGAATCCTTATTTGATAGATGTTTGTGTAATTGACTGCTATGTGGTGGCTGTTTGCGAGATAATAGCTTCAGAGTTTCACTTCATCCTTTCTTTGATGCAAATTTTCTGTTTTTGAGTGACGCTTAATTTGTATTTTCTCTTTTGTCAGGATGGACAGTCACGGACAGTAAGGCAGTTTCAGTTCACAGACTGGCCTGAACAAGGAGTGCCAAAATCAGGAGAGGGCTTCATCGATTTCATCGGCCAAGTACATAAAACAAAAGAGCAGTTTGGCCAAGATGGGCCTATTTCAGTCCACTGTAGGTAAGTGATCAAACTGGTACGACCGCATCAGCTACGCATATTTTGTTTTCAATGAAACGTTTAAAAACCAAACTTTCTCTCCACAGCATAAGAAACATACATTACAATATAAATCATGCACAGATGCATCAAACTGACTCACTGATTTACAGTTTTTACATGGAACAAGCTATTTTTAGTGAGTGAAGTAACTAAGTATGTTTCTCTGGCCTCAACGTTGACCTTTTGTATCGTGGATGTCTCTTGCACAGCGCGGGTGTTGGCAGAACTGGAGTTTTCATCACCCTCAGCATTGTCTTGGAAAGAATGAGATACGAGGGCGTAGTAGATATTTTTCAGACAGTGAAAATGTTGCGGACACAGAGACCAGCTATGGTGCAGACAGAGGTGAGACATGTTCTTCCCCTTTCTACTCCAGAAAACTCACACACTGTTCTGAGGTAACAGAACAGGAGACAAGTATATTAACATGAGCTTCACTTCATAAGAAATAACTGATGTTTTCTCTCCCTTCTGCTTATTCTTTCTTTGTTTTTGTATAAATATGCTTAAAACCTGTTATTTGGTACTTCAAATACTTAATTAAAATACTGCCTTGGATCAATGAAAGAGACTGCTCAGGAGATTAATGTGGCTCGAGTATCTTTTGTTAAAGTCATGATTAAAGCACCAAAACGATGAGATCTAGAAGCAAGATTGTGCAGACTGCGTATTGAAGACTTCTCCTTTTTTGTTTTCAGGATCAATACCAGTTCTGCTACAGAGCTGGCTTGGAGTACCTGGGAAGCTTTGATCACTATGCAACGTAAAAGACCCAGTATCGGAAGAAAAAAAAAGCAGAGGGCCCTTTGGAACGAAAAACCCAGCGAGCCTCTCTTCTGAGCCATAAATTCCTGCTTGAGAAAGTACTCCTTAACTCCTTGCTAACAACTCATTACGTGTTGGATGTGCGACATGACTCGTCAAAAAATGAAAAAGATGATTCCTGGAGGACCAAGTATTTCCCCAAACCCCACGAAAACCTCACCTTGAGTCAAAGTGAGGGAATCCTGACTGATGAAGCATCATACGGAATTACCTTTTTTTTTTCTTTTTTCTTTTGCTTCAAGGATTCATTTTTTGGGGGGGGGGCTCATAAAACTGAATGAAACCAACACAACAAAAAAGTATATGAACAATAATGACATCGTCAGAAATGCATCAGTGATTATGAACCGATACGAGAGGCATTGGAGGCACACAGAATCGCGGGGGGGGAAAAACTCGATGCACATTGTAAAGAAAAAAAAAATCTGTTTCACAATCAAGTACACACAAAGACAACCCATCGAAAAAGAAGACAATGCTTGGTCCACAACAGCAGGACTCACTCAAAGTAATAATGAATTAATACTCCTTCTCCTGTCACAATGTTCATCATCAAAATTTTGGAAGAGGGGGGACATCAAATGATCTATGAAATAA